ATAATTAATTGGCAAATACCCCGTGAAATTAAATTGTCTCACGTAGTAATATTGTCATGATGCTACAGGATTTATTACTATTAACAATATTTATGATATAATTACTTGAAGAATTTTGCGATAATATATATATATACAAATTTTTAATAATTACGTTTTCATCAATAGTTGCATTTAAATATAACAATTTAATAACGTATTGTGATAAGAATATGTATGTATATAAGTTCTATAAATTCTAAACAATTTTAAACTGTCGCATAGAATATCATCAAGTTTTATAGTTTACACTAAGATTATGTACGATTTTTGTATATATATTAAAAATTTGTCCATGTATATATGATTCCATATAATCTAACTATTCATGAGGGGAAGTGTAAAAAGCGCAGAACAATTCTAGAGGAAGCAGCTAGGTGGCTTTGGGTATGTTTGCTTTATGGGTTTTTTATAGGTTTAAATTCATGATTTTGATTCTGTTATAATGTTTTTCTCTCATAAAAAATTTGTTAATACCTAATTTTGTACCAAAACCATTCAAGGGTCTAAGCCAAACCATGGCGTCATGAGATGTTATTAGGCTCGCTTCGTGGACCTAAGCTACGCTCAGGGAACTCTCGTGGTTGTGGTTTGGTGGGTCATGTGTGATCAAGTATACCCGTTGGTTGTTTAATTCGATTTAATTTGAATCCCGTTTGGGGGTTTTAAGAATTAGTCGGATTAAATACAAATGGGTGTTGGAGAATTCCCAAAAGGCCTTCCTCCCGTCCTTTTGGAAGCCCAAGAATTCCTAAGTCTACGCCTTAGAACCTCTTCCTCTTCATCGAGGTTGATTCTCAGTGTTTTGACTCCAACAGAGGCTCTACCCTCGCCAGACGTGCCTAATGGAGGCTCCCTCTGTGGTGGGCATGTCTCTCGGAGCCTCCTCATCATGTTGAAGTATGCCTAACGGAGCCCTTTCCGTATTAGGCATCCTTTTTTTGGACTTCTTCTCGCCCAACTCATCATCGGAGCAATATTCGCTTGGAGCATGTTCACCCTTCAGAGCAGCTTCAACCAAAGCAACCTTCATCTGGAGCACGCTCACCGTCGCAGTAGCTTCATTCGGAGCAACTTTTGTGTCAGAGCCAACTTGACGGTTGCGTAGCCTATATCGTGTAAACCATCTCTCACAAGGTCTGACATGCGATCAGACCTGTGAAAAAGGAAGTCAACGAAGCACAAAGTTGAGTCAAATACTCTTGAGAATTTCAAACCTTAGAACTCTTCACGACAGCTTCAAATCTGGAACTTTCCCTCTAAGTCTTTCCATTTTTGGATCTTTTCTTTGTCAATCCGGAAAGTCAGTTGACCACGTTGCTCCAAAGGGAATTGTGTGTGCAGGTCTTCGTCAGAGCGTCGCCGATTGGGCTTCGGAGCAGCCACCATGAACCTTTCTTTCCATTTTCAGACCAACTCTTCTTCAACCCCGAAAAGGCTTCTGATGACTTTGCTCTAATTGGATTGCGTATGCATGCTTCCTTCAGAGTGTCGCTGATCCATCTCTAGAGTAAGTTCCCAGAAGTCTTCATTCCATTTTCGGCCAATCCCCTCTTCAACTCTGGAAAGGTGTTAGAAGGCTTTGCTCCATCAGGATTTCTTATGCAAGCGTCTGTCAAAGCACGTTGTATGAACCTCCGAAGTTGCCGCCAAAATCCTACCAACTTCACCAATAAACACTTTCATCTTCCTTATTCCAGATGACGAGAGAAAATCCTGAATCCTGAAGACTTTGAGCCCCCTTAACCCCATCATCATCACCAGTCACTGTCTTCATCTTCTTCAGATCACTCTCTCTCTTTGTTTAGACTTCTCTAGTCTCTTGCTACATAGACTTGAAGTTCTTCCAACACTTCAAAATTCTTCAAAGCTTCCAAGTGTTGACAGCCTTAGAAACTCTCCCAAAACACTTTTCGATCCATTTCCACCACCATCACAAAGTTCTTCGAAGTTTCTTCACACATTTTCTGGCAATGTTCAAGTCTTCATTTTCGGGGTCACTTCCGCTCACCTTCGGGGGAAGTGCTCTGAGCGTCGTTCTCACTTCCAGAGCAACACGCGTTGCTCTTGGAGTTCCCTTCACTAGAGCCTTATCCAGCTCACTAACTTCACTCTCACACTCCAATAATCCTTATCCACTACTTGAGTCACCAGCTTCGCTCCTGGAGCTGCCCACACTTGTCTTCAGAGCATTGCTCTATCAAGGCACCTTCGGCCTCATTTTCTCCATCTCCATCAACTACTTGGTCGCACCTCCCACCATTCTTTATCTCCGGAGTTCTTTTATTTGTGTTTGTGAATTCTCTAACGTATTTTGCAAGGTATTTTTATCATTTCAGCAACGAAGAGGGTCCTAGGACACACATCCTTTAGCCTGAGTTGGGCCTAGCCGACCCCACTTCTTCATCAAAGATCCCGCCATCATCATCCAAATCGAAGCCTGGCCATGTCGGATCTACTTCCGACAAACCGCGTGCTTACGCGTGTCAACTCCCGATACGTCGACCCTCCGAATCTACCGAACCCCAACAAAATTTAAATTTTAAAAGAGAAAATTACTAACCTTACTTTTAAAAATATATGGGTCCCGATTTTTATCATTTACTCTTAATTAATATCCTTTTGTTAATATAGTTATTTGACTAAAAAGGGTATTATCAAGAGTAATAGGCAAAAATTAAGATTCATGTACTTTTAAGAGGTATTTTTCAAGATTTCTCTTATCAAAATCATTGGTTTGACCCTTATTTAAATTCATGAACCAAATGAGCTCTTAGGGCCGTTTAGAATATATATTTAAGTTAATAATTCTAATTTATTGGCGGAAACTTTATAAGATGTGAAATTTTTGAATTTAAATTTTTTGTAAGTTACAAAAATATTATAACAAAACCTAAATTATGATTCAAATATACTTACTAAACGAGCTCTTAATGATTTTCAAGCATTCCAAGCCTTTAACAAGTCGCCTTTGCCTCGATCGTTACCTGTGGTACAACGATGGTCTCCGCCTCCGGACAATGTTTATAAGCTAAATGTAGATGTTCTGTAATCTTGATTATATAGGGCTGGGCGGTCTGGTTTGTGATAACACATGCTCTGTAATGGGTGCTTTTGCGCAAAAAAAAAAAAAAAGTGTTCGAATGGCTTGGCAGTCTCTTTGGTGGAGTGTGACTCCTCTTCAATTGTAACCTATGTTAATAGTCCAGCCAGCTTGGCTGTTGAGGAGCCTACTTTAACGGGCATTAGAATACTGGTTAGTGAAGTTGGTGGTGATGAAGCAGCCCTTACACTAGCAAAATTTTTAATTTGAGTTGAGATGTGATTTTAAGTGAGAGTTTTTAACTGTAACAAAATTAAAATTAAAAACTCAAATCGGTAAAACGAACAATGTCTTAGATTTTGATCAACTTTAGTTGGAAGATTTTTTAAATTATATTGTGAATATTATAAGTGTCGAGATGGCTTCTATTTAATCTAATTCTAGTTTTATTTTCAAAAAAAAAAAAAATTTAACAATTCAAAATTAAATGCCTTTAAAAAAATGTATATCCAAAATTAAACAATAGAACCATAAAAATGAATAAATAAACAATAGGCATGGTATTAAATTTGGTAGTCATACGGCCTGGTAAGTGTAACATTTTTTATATAGATTTGTAACCTTTCGGTGTAACGTGATAATACTGAAACAATTTTAATATAATATAAAGTAAATTACAATTTATTGGGTGTTATACTTAAATAAATTAAGTGCATACGAATATAATAATGATATTACATTGATGAAAAAAAATATTGCACCAATCAGACTGGTACAGCCGTTGAACTGAGCACATTTTCATAAAATACGTTATACGTGTTATATTTAGGGATGTATATGGGTTGAGTTAGTACGGAGTAGGATTTTTTTTTACCCCACCTCAAAAGATGCAGGTTGCACATATTTGACCCTAACATATTTGGGTTGGGTTGGGACGGCACGGGTAGGTTGGGTGGTCAGGTTTATCATTCAAAGAATCAAAGTTCAATCTAGTATTCAAAATTCATCATCAAATAAAAATAATAACTCTAAAATTCAAAGTTCATTATCAAATAATACTGATCATCAAATAGAAATAATATGTATAATCAAACATAACTACAACATTCAAAGTTCATCATCAAATAAAAATAATACTGATTAGTCTATCATTAAATAGATAACAATTAAAAGTTTAATCTAATATCAAACATGAAGCAAAGTAGTCTATCCAACATCAAATATAAAGCAAACATAAATTATAGGCTTAATTCAAATACATCCAAAGCAAACACTGCAACAGTAACAATCCTTATTAGTCCACACTCATAGGCTCCTTATCAGGCATGTTTGTACGGGTTGTGTTGGGGTATGTAGATTATTATAGGCCTAACCCATAAACCGTTACAAACACCTCGGATCAGACATTTAGTGGGCTAAAAAATAAAAAATAATACTATAAGTTGTCTCAAATTGAGTTGAGGCGGAATAGTTTGAGTTTACGGGTTGTTCAGGTTTATGTACAGCCCCAAATATATTACATCTTATATTACATTTTCATGTTATACATGTTATCTTACATAAAATTTTCCTTTTTTTTTCTTTTTTGCTGTTGTAACATAAAATTTTCCCAATTAGTTTTATCGAAATGTTACATAATCATCTTAATTAGTTAGTAAACTATCTTTCTGCCTAAAAACAGTTATTAGAGTGAATTGTGAAATATGTCGTGTCAGTACTTTCGAGCTTCCTAGATTTTAATTTGATTCCTTTACTAGGTGTCCTATCTACCATTTTTCTTTGCCTTAATTAGTGCTGATGTGGCTTAAAATTTGGCTTAAACTCAGGGGTAAAAATATAGGAACAAACAAATAATAAACAAATAAAGTACTGAGGGAGCTGAAGAGAAAAAGAAAAGTTCAGACACAGAACAGAACTTTCTGAAACTTTGAGAGAAAAGAAGAGAAGCACAAAACAAAAGAAAAATTAAAAAAAACATGGGTTGAAGTTGAAAACGAGCATTTAAGTTCACTTCCAGTTTGAAACTTGGAAGAGAAAGAAAGATAGAGAGAGAAAATGGAAAGGAAAGAAAAAGTTGAGGAAAAAAGAGAAGGAAAAAAAAAGCAAGGAGGATCAGGATTAATGGCGAAAAAGTTGAGGCGCGGCGTTGTGGTAGGGAAAAGAGGAGGGCCTTGTACTACTACTATTACCACTCCACCACCAAGATGGAGGCTTAAAGAAAGCAATGTCGTCTATAAAAACGACAACAAAAACATTCCCTTTACTTCTGAGTTCGAGTTTCTTGACTTTCAAACGACACCAACGGTCTCCGCTAGAAAGCTCTGCGCAAATCTCTGGGACATCGAGTCCCACAAGAAATTCCCACCTCACAAAATGCCCAAAAGATTTCGCCGACGACACCACAAGAATAATAGTAATAATGGGTTTAGGCTTGTTAAGAATCCAGTTGATGTTTCTGATGCCAATCTTGAAGATGATGAGGTAAGTAAATAACGTTCGACACTTTTTTTTTTTTTTTTTTTTTTTTTTTTTTTTTTTTTTTTTTTTGGTTTTGGGGTTTTTTTTTTGTCCTCCCTTTTCCTTTTTTGTTTGTTGATTATGGAGTTTTGGGGTTTATTTATGGCCTCCCTTGTTTAGTAACATTTCCCTTCTCTTTGGAACTTATTCAAAAATAAAAATTAAAAAAAGGACACTTGTTTTTGTTGTATTGCTGTTGCTTTGTGGTGTGGCCCTACTGTTTGCTTGTCCTCTATCCTGAGTTTTTTTTATTTATTATTATTATTATTATTATTATTATTATATTTCTATGGTTTACAGTACCGTTCATGTTCTTAATTTTTTTTTATTATTTTTCTTTATTCTTGTTTAGGATTACTTGAATATTTATGATTTATTCGGATATTAATGGGGTTTTCTTGTTCTTCCTAGTTGCTGCTGTTTGTTTTTTTTTTTTTTTTTTAAATTATATTTTGTCTTTTAAACCGGTTGTGAGAAATTTTTCGGCCAAAACATTAGGCAATGGTTCAATCTGCATTTTTCAGCAGCTGGGATTACAGTCTACTCTTCAGGGATTATGATTATTGTTACTAATATTGGATTCCTATGGCAATCTCTGAGAAACTTTAATACAATTTTGCAGCCATAACGCATACAAAACTAGTACACGTATACAGATTTGTTTAGGCTGATTTCTCTGCTCTATCTCATTTCAGCCAGCAACTGCAAGCAGCTTGGGGAGAACTGTTTCCGCATCGATGATACAATATCATCGAGCACTCGACAGGAACGATCGCGCCCTTCAGCCTCTGTCTCCTGCTAGTTATGGTAGTAGTTCCATGGAGGTCAGCATCTTTATCTCTCATGCATCAGATTTTTTTTGTCATTGAGTGACAATTTCTTAAATGAAAATGCAGCATCACACTTTAAATTCTGTCTTGTTAAGCAGTACTCTCTTGCACTACCTACGATTTTCGAAAGCTCTAATTAGTTGAATATGCATATTCTCTACATAATGGTTCAGAATAGCAATGTGTATGTGAATTGATTCTATAATTATGATGGTTTCATTTGTTATTCGCAGGTGGGACCTTATAAACAAGCTGTCACTCCCGCTAATTCTTTGGATTTTAGGGTTAGGATGGGTGGATCGAGTTATAGCCTCAAAACCTCGACGGAATTACTCAAGGTACTCAATCGGATCTGGAGTCTTGAAGAACAGCATGCTTCTAATGTATCTTTGGTGAAGGCACTAAAAATGGAACTAGATCATTCGCGGGTGAGAATTAAAGAGTTATTGCAAGAGCAGCAGTCAGAGAGGCAAGAAATGGATGAGTTGGTGAAGCAAGTCACCGATGATAAGTTGTTTAGGAAGAGCATAGAGCAAGATCGAATAAGAGCTGCAGTTCAATCAGTTCGCGATGAACTAGAAGATGAGAGGAAGTTAAGAAAGCGTTCAGAAGGCCTCCACCGAAAGCTAGCTCGAGAACTTTCTGAACTGAACTCCTCTTTTGCGAACGCTCTGAGGGATCTTGAAAGAGAGAGGAAAGCCCGGATCCTATTAGAGAACTTGTGCGATGAGTTTGCTAAGGGGATTAGAGATTACGAACAAGAGGTGCGGTCGCTGAAGCACAAGCCTGAGAAAGATCGATGTGGTGCAGATAAATATGACAGGTTGATTCTCCATATTTCAGAAGCATGGCTTGACGAGCGGCTGCAAATGAAACTAGCTGAAGCAGAAAACAACATTGCAGAAAAAATTACAATAGTGGACAAGTTAGGCTTCGATATAGCAACCTTTCTTCAAGCTAAACAGGCGGTTGAATTGAGGAAACGGGGTAATTTATTCCCAAAGGAACATTGCTTGCGTCGACATTCGTTGGAGTCCATTCCACTGAATGAGGCTGTAAGTGCACCACGGCATCCAGCTGATGAAGATTCTACTGATGTCGATTCACACTCTTTTGAAGCAAGCAAAAGAGATGGTAGCAAACAAAGCAAGAGCAGCAGCGGACAATGTAGCAACAACGCTACAGTGGGTCAGCACGAGGGGCCGACGAAATCTAATTCCATGAGGAAAAAGGTTAAGTCACAGGAGCTGATTAAGGGCAGTGGACTATCCAATTTGCAGGGCCAATTCGAGCAACGTATGACAAGAGCTATGTCATGTAACGGAAACAAAAGCGAGTTTGTGGATAAATACCTGGGTGAAGCAACAGAAGATCTTGGAATCCATCGACTGAAATCAAATCATGTGCTTGATAACTTGATTAGAACCGGTTCCTTGTCGACACAAGGGAATAAGACGCATTTCGAAAGTTGCTGCAGGGGAGACTCTTGTATCCACTCCTTGTTACCCGGTAGTGCTAGTCCAGTGCAGAAATGGAAGTCAGAACTGATGACCCCAGATTTTGAAAAATCTGAATCTTCATCGAGATGGCCTCGGGACCTCGACGAGAACACCTTGATGGCACAGCTAATAGAAGCGAGGCTAGAAAGAAGAAGGCAATCTCATTCAAAACCTTCGAAAGGCTCCATTTAGATCATGCTGAAACTTGGTTTAAAATGCAATGCTCAAATAATCAATCTGCTGAATATTTCTTAGTGTAGGATCAACTCACACTTGTACATATAATTCTATTGTTATGTTTACATATTATTTGAATTCAAGTCTGTGATTTGGTCAGTCCTTGGTTTTTGTTGTTAGCTGCTTAATGAATTCAGATTAAAACAAGTTTGATTCCTTTGGGGAAGATCATATGACTAGCCATAACCCACAAAAAGATCGATTAAAATTAGTTAGAAAACAATTCATGACTAGGGCTTATCTTCTGACCAAAAAAAAAAAAAAACATTAGATGGGTTTAATTTTAGGTCTTTTGTTTGACTAAAAAATTGTAGTGCCACCAACAGAGACAACGCCAGCACCACCATTACTTCAGATAACATTATGGTACATTAAATAATAGTTTTGGGGGAAAAAAAGTTGCTAGGTTGCTTTTGATCATATAATGAACTAAAATTTGGTTCCCTGATTGGAATGTTTAGAAGAGACTAAACATATTAAAGAAAGCAAAACAAGCAAATGAAGTTTGAAAAGAGTGTCAAGCCTTAGTCATCTATAGTTTTCCAATGTTTTTTAATATTGAAACATCTTTGTTGGAAAATACTTCACAATAAAAATGTCCCACCACTCACCATCAGCAAATAAGGTTGGAAATATGTGTGTAATGATTGACATAAGAGCATTTGTTGGGAGGAGAATTCTCTAATAGGATAAGGGGAAAAAAAGAAAATCTATTGATAGATACAATTTTAAACTGTTAGATTTTTATTTAAATTGTTCGTATTTTTTTAATTTGATATTATCTATTAGTTTAGAATTACATCTTACAAGTAGATTTTTTTTTTTTTTTTTTTTTTTTGGATATCCTACCACGCAATTGCCTTTTACTTTATTTTTTTAATATATTCTTGCTAGTGACTCTGGTAAGACAACTCTCAAGTAATTTCTCATTTGTCACAAAATCACTTGCTTATCTTCTGAAACAATAGGCAATGAAATTGATGAAAATACATATTTAATTTGTTGTGCTTATAATGTGCCTACTATGCAATGTCCATTGATTTGGAAGCGAAATGTTTCTTTATAATCAAGTAAGCATGTTATATATAATGCGAGGCAATTATTGGCAATAAAAATATGGGAAAAGAGTGTTCGAAAACTCAAGCATCTCAATCTTTTTGTTACGAGTAGTGGACCACTATAGGAAAGCAATCTATGATAATAATATATTTTCTGGGTAATAAAGTGATACTGTCACTTCCTTTTTTTTCGTTCAAAAAAAATATGACAAATGATTTGTACATGAACCATAAGCTTGGGGAAAATTATAAAGCTACTGTTGAAGGAAACAAAATTAATGTCTCTACTATTACTCCTTAATATTTGTCTACCTTTAAATAATCTAATTTAATATTGCTATTTGGCTCCAAGAAAATATGAGTCATTGGTAATTATATGATAAAATAACGGAATCGGGTTCTTTAGAAAGACGATCACTAAAAAAATAACCAAACGTAATATATATATATATATATATATATATATATATATAAAATAGATTAAGCAAAAACAAAAAAGAGAATCAAGAAAATACAGTGCAATTCAAAAATAAATTGCTGACGAATAAATGTACATATTCAAGCCCTTTAGGAGACGTTTGATTCGTGGATTAAAATTATGAGATTAAAATTATTTTTAATTTACGTGTATTTTTTATGAGAAAAAAATACTGCAGCAAATCATGAACCATAATTCAAATTATAGTATGAATTCTCTTATCTCCTTAATTGTTCTGATTCTTCTGAAGACGAAAACTTAATCAAATAAGAGATCGACCATTGATGTGACAAAAATTCCACCGAGTCCATATTAAATTGATTTCTTTGACCAACTAGAAAAACTACCAATCAGATGGTCATGGCCACACAAGCCACTCTTTGCAATGGGCCCAGATATTCTAGAGCCCTGATCTAAAAAATCCATATTACCCACTTACATACATTATATTATACATAAGTGACCAGTAGAATAGAAAGTCATAAAAAAAAAAAGATGCTCAGTCAGCAGACTGAGCACCAATTTCGCTCATACTGCAAAAATTTCACCAATTCTTGGACTAAAAAGAAAATCCCATCTCAAGATTCTTTCCTAAATTAATATCAAATCGTTCAAGAATAATGTTAATGGCCTTGTTTGATTCCTTCTATGCCCCTCATGACAGTGCCTATATAAGCAGCCACAATGTTCATCCATTTCCCATAGTCACATCCACTGCTTTCTATATCTTTCTTTGTTATTCTTAATAGTTGCATACAAACGTGTCGTCCTATTATATATTATACATACTTACGTATATATATATATATATATATATGTAGTAATATTATAGAGTGCATAATAGGGTATTTGAGGTCCAAATGGGGCTCTCTCACTCCAAATCTGAAAGGAGATGACGGTATTCTTTGGCTGCCAATTCATGAGCACCCATGGATGCACATTCTAATACGACAAGAGCATTCTAAGGGTTTGCATGAATTGGGAGACGAAGTTTCCTTGATCCTTTTTGGTATTGGAGTGAAGGGAGCTCCGAATGGACACTCTCTCCCTATTTTGGCAGGTGAGTGAAAATGTGTAGAGAAGCGATCAACCGTAACTTTCTTCTACACATGATCAAAACGAAGACCAAACACGTTTTGTAATCTCACTAACAACTAATAAACATTGCGTCAATAATTTAAAAAATAGTCTCGAACCTAAGAACTTTCTCTCTACCAAACTACTTAGGAATTATACCAAGTTATTAGGTTATATATTTTACCTTTATTGATTCAGTGATTTGTTTCATTCGGTGTGGAACATGTTATTTTGGGCAATGGCTATGGCTCGCAGATTGATGATCGTCACTTAGATTTATACCCCAATAAATTAAAAGATAATGGAATTGACATGCATGACGTTATTTGTTTCTTATTTTATTTTTATTTTTTTCCTTTTGTTGTGCTGATTTTTTTATTATGATCTTAAGCATGCACTTTGACGCGCGGTGACTGATGATAAAGTGAGAGCAGAATGAAAAGCTTAAAGGATGGGTTGACCAAAAGTTTTATACCAATTTCTTGTGAGGTAATTTGTTCGTTAATTTTTATTTTTTTATTTTTTTATGGGAAAGGATTCAGTAACAAGAAATTCATCTGTTTATTACAGTTTCTCATAATGCGCTTCGGAATCTATGGTCTTTCACTTCAGTGTCCTTATATTATTATTGTTTCTCTCTCTCTTGTTAGAAAAAAAAAAAAAAAAAAAAAAGTTTACGTGGGGAATTGTCTTTTGCTTTTGCTTTAATTAATGGGTGGAGTATGAATTTTAATTGTACTAATCTAATCGTTAATCAAGTCTGAGATCCAACAAGTACTTGATCTTCTATCAGTGATCGAGTCTTATGTAATTGATTGAGACATGTCGGATTTAATTAAAAAAAATTGATTTTTTTATACTTGAAACTTGAAATTTTAATTTTCAGATGTGTCCTTATTTTATATATAAAAGTACTATAACTGTATTGCCATTCCCTAATTAAGAGGATGTTTAGGAAAGGGATTCATTCTCTGATTCGAATCATGATTCATAGTTCGTTATAATATTTTCTCTCATAAAAAATACGCATAAATCGAAAATGATTTGAATCACATGATTTGAATTCTCTAACCAAACATATTGTAATACTTATAGTTATCTTTCTGTTGACCAAAAAGAATATATATATTTTGCCCTTCCAAAAAAAAAAAATTTGTTATAATGTCTCAATTTAAAAACAAAAGGCTACGTCACTGATTATTAAATCATTCTGCCATATATATCGCACAAAACCTGATGTTCCATGAGTTTGGTTATGGTTTCACATGGACCTAAAGCAGTATATCGAACAAAAACTTTACTTCAATATAGTATAAATTAGACCCTTTTTTTTCTGAATTATTGGTGTGATCCCATTTTCCATCTAGATCAGTTATAGAAGAGATTACGATGCTTTAAAAAAAAAAAAACAAAAAAAATGTTTAGCTCAATTTTACTCAAGAAATAAAAAAATAGTTCAATTTCTGACAAACCACTATGAATGTAATGCAACCTATTACCCAAGCAACAACCCTTCTAATATATATATATATATATATACATATTGAGTAGACAGAAAGTATCTAAAAATAGATATAATTAATAGTGGAAAGAAATCCAATCATATAATTTTTTTCTATCTAAAGAACAAGTGAGATAAATCTAATAATATTAAAAAACAATACAAAAAATTTATTTAACCGTTTAAAAAAAAAGAAATATTTCAGATTAAAGGATCAAGAGTTTATGGAAACATAAGTGATCAATATATAACAACCTTCTATATTCTATATTGAGAAAATTCCTTGGTTTCAAACCTTCAATAATTCAACCCATCATGGTCCATGTCAACCCAAAACACAAATCTTGCGACTTTATGCCCATATCAGCCCAATAGATCACAAACCTTGAGACAGTGGCCCATATTATCACGAATTCCCAACACAGATTGAAGTCCAAGCGATCTGACACTGTATAAAACTACAAGCCGTTCAGTTCGTTATTATAATTTTTAATTTGAATTAAAATGTGATTTTATGTGAGAATTTTTTATTATAATAAAAAAATTAAATGTGATTATTTTTAAAAGATTTTTATTATAATAAAATTTAAATTTTAAACTTAAATCGGTAAAATAAACGGGTCTATGTTGCGCGGTTTATATATTTAAATTGAAGAGTTTTCTTTTTTCTTTTTTGAAGGGAAATTGAACAGAGTTTATGAGAGAGAAAAAAAAAAGGCATTGAAAAGGTTTAAATTATATTTCAAATTTATGAAATAAATGTGTCAATAATATAATTGGATTCCCATATACGATTTTGTTTTCCTATTTTCTTTTCTGCGAAACAAGTGATTTTCTGTGT